TCTTGCAGGTGTTATTCGTTACGCAAAGACGTCATCTGGAGTATAATCCAAAACCAGAGGAAAGAAGACGGTTGTTTCGTTTTTGTATGAGGCTCTTCAGGAATATGAACCCGTGACACTTCAAAGGATATATATCAGGGAATTAACGTTTCATAGTAAACGCTTAACTATTTGGTCACTAACGTGAGATCCATTAGCGTACAATTTCAACTTCAATCATTTAGGGATATAACACGACCTACAGAACCCAGTCAAAATGTTAGCTAACATTGCATAGGGATTATACAACAACAGAAACTGACTGTTACAAAATATGAACTACTGAATTTGGAATCGTTAGGTTTAACGCACCGTGATATTTATATAAGTACATGTTACGTAAATGAAAAATTTTTACTTCACACTACTGCAGTAGTGTAGTGAACAAGAACACAAGAGGGGACAATCGAATGTATATGCATACAAAATTACAGAACATCTTAGTAAAATCTGAGAACCATAAAGCAAATACTTCATTTCCAAAGTGTCAAGCAATCGTCTCAGACTTCGTTGTTCTTTCGTTTGCACACCAATCATTCTTTGTCCTCGTTCTCTTTTCGTTGATCTACTTAAACTTCTGTTGCCAGGTATTTCACGTTCGATGGATGATATATACTACTTATATTTATCGACATCGGTAGCACACACCACAGTAGGATTAACGAATATTGTTATAACTGGACGGGTATTGGAGAAGTTGGAAATTTCAGGACTACTTTTCAAAATGTTATTTTGCATAGTTTTATTGCGTAATTACCAAGTAACTGAACCACTGTTTCTATATTTTACTGATTTTAATTTTCCGTTTGACACGCCAACTAATACTATACTTTCTTATTACTTCAAAATAATTTACAGTTTACTCGGTTTACAGCCGATTTCGGTATATTTGTGCATTAACTGTGCTTTTATATTTTATAATGTGATCTAGTTTGATTTTTCGTACATATAAATTATTGAATGCCTGAGATAGCTGCTGGGCTGATTTATTGAAATGTAGTACAGAAACCTCACTGAAGACTTTTTGTCAAACTCAAGGTTAGGGGTAGGAGGTAAACTAATAGATGTTCAGCTTACATTAGCTCAAAGTAAATTTTGTTGATCAGAGTGTATTTTTTATTGATTAAGGCTAAATACGCTAGACCATAGACAGAATAGCAGATGAGGGATTTAAAAATTACAGTCGAAATTCTGATTTGCGAACCAGCAATTGACGTCAATCAGTCATTCAGAAATATATCATCCACATAACATGTCTATTCTCAAATGCTGATCGAGTTCTATCGATCATATTGTAATGTGTCCACTTGTCTAACTCGTCATGTATCGCGTGCAAGCTGTTGCGAGAGTGAATGATTGGAGATAGTTTGGAGGAAAAATTGGTGATGCAAGTTCGAATTCCCTAGGGAACATTCATTCTCTTATGATTTATTAACGAGAAGTAAGTAATACAGAACCTTAATACGAGGTTTCATACCATCTACATTTAATCATTAAGTTATACTTGTTTTATATATGGACTCGTAGATAATCTAATTTTTCAACAATATTTGTAGCGCTCAAATAGAATATTTACTAATCAAAAAATATCATACCGAAGCAATAAAACTAAAATATTCTCTTTCAGCAACAATATTTTCCTTTATTGGTCAATAGTAATGAATACTTAAAAAGAAATGAATTTACTATTCAACGCTTAAGTTAAATATGATCATTGTTAGTAGGAAAATACAATACTATAAAAATCAATGGTTGTTTGAAGAGATGCTAATGCATATAATAAGTCATTACTACTACTAGGTGTAGTTATTGTTATGCTCTCTACCATAATTAACTTTTTAATTAGAATATTTCATATAGTTTATAGTATTATTCTAATTGTATAAAACAAACAGTAAAATAGAATGAAGAATTGAACTATTACAATATTTATTTAAGGTATCACGTGAATGTTTATTCAATACAAATTTGATTTGAAAACGAATACTTGTATAAGTAAAATTGGTTGGATTTAATAAACTACAAGGATAACGATATGAATAACTTTGTATCAGTAATAACTATTAGATTGAAATTTATTAATTGAGTAATTTCATGCATGTGAAGACATTGTAGAATGTCATGCTCAATCCGATTCAACTATATATTGTTAAGGAAACCTAAACAGCTAGGAAGCAAGTGTTCAGTAATCCTTGATATCTAGTGTTTCTCTAAATATCAGTTTGTGAAGAAAATTCCTTTCATAATTTATTTATGTTAAAATATGTATTTTACCTAGATTTCTATTTGTTAAGAAATTTATCACTTTTTAATGCTTAACATCATTGATGAGTCTTCTGTAGTACACAGTTTGTGGTTTTGATTTATTGACTTCTAATACAAAAAGGTTTCGATTTATCTATTCAAGAAACAAAAATTTTGTCATGCCACAAAAGAATGCTGTTATGGTGGGCTGAGTATCGGTACAAGTGTAACGTTTTGAACTAATTTACAGATTTGTATTATCGATATTTTTATTGTATGATTATTAGGCAAGTGCATAACTATACTTCTATATACTCTTTAGTGTACGCTTCCAGTGGACCCATAAACCATTACTGTATTTTTTTACCATTCCTTAATTTTGATTAATTGACCAATCATAATTTATCTCCTACCATTTCGACTTTTGGCGTAGTTATGCCTACATTGTAATTTTCTACTCGTGCTGATGTGTGATTAGGAAATTAATCCATATTACTGTATGAATTAGTCCACATAAGTTACGCTACTGAGTTATATTATTGGAATGAATATTGGGCTATAAGAAAAGCATACATTCATATCGGTAAGCTAATAAAGATCAGGATTACTTTGTAAGTGATCAATGTTATTCATGCTAGCCTAGACATCTCACTGGTCAATGAAAGTAATTAGTTAATAGACGGACTAGCATCTGGGACTAGAAAAGAGTAAATCAGAATTTCGATTATTAGATTTTTACTGAGCTAACGATTAAGGAAATGCAGGCTAACATTGCATTCATAACAAATGCGTCACACAAAATGGAGGCAACAAGTTGTGACGGTAGCAAGTTTAAATTGCAAATGTGGCTTTGGAAAGCCTATATCCATTTTTTCATTCGATAGCAAAACTTAATAACCAACCAATCGAAAAGATTAAGTGCATTTAAACAAGACATAATTTCAAACAGAGGCAACTTGTTGAATGAGTTAAGGATTAAAATTGGTGTAAGAAAACGGAAACGTTATACGGAAATTAGACGAAGTAGTATGTCAGAGTGATATAGAATAAACTTGTTCATAATAATGTAATTATAAACTATGTCTGCGTCAACAGTTCATTTCCCTCCTTTATTATAGTTATTTTTGTGTGGTAAGTGATAGACTCCGCCCAAACCAAAGCAGATGGTTCCCTCAGGATCACCCCAAGCATTTGACCTCAAAATCGAATCAGTGGAATAGGATAGAAAAGCGTATTATTGTGAGCATTTTTCTTCAGGTGTCAGGATATTTAAAGAAATATATGTCTTCAAAATACTGGAGCTAAGTGAAGCTTTACTGATATCCTTAGTAAAATTACGGTCAATAAAGAAATAATGCGAAGTATATTATGAGACCTATAGATGATAAAGTCGCCGGGGCTTACAAGTGTTGACTATAATCATATCTTATTTACAGTGCATTCTAAAAGTAAACTGGACAAAGATGCCTTTAGACGCTTGGAATCTCGCAATTCTATTATTTTCAAATCGTAGAATTTTTTTCATCAGTCACGAAAACTTTGATGTGAGAAATAAGAATCAATACAGCTTAATAAGAACAAAAAATGGCTCACACCTTAGTCGAAAGAATTTTTATGAATGCACTATGAGTACCAATCACATTCTCCATAACATGTGTTACTGAGTTGTTTTTAGATATTCTGAACATTTATTCTACACTTCATATACGATCATTTGAGATGAGTCACGGTAACTAAATTCATTAAGCAAATGCACAAACTACCACTTGACAGACCAACTTACACCTAAAATAACGATAGTGTAGTTTATAATAGCCAGTAAATAAACATACTAAGTTGTTTTATTGTCTCTATTAACCTTCTCTTATATATACAAATATAACTAGAATGTAATTCAATACAGTACCAAGGTAACGTCTCAAAAAGGTCATATAAATCATGAGAAGTTATTCAACAAGGTTTTCTAAACCAATAAATATCCATAACAGACGATAGAAAAGTTGATCTTAGCAAGCTACTACTAATACATTAAATAGGAATAATATATTTGTAAAATCTCAGCGAATGAATTTTTTAAAAATTTTTAATTTAAAAAATTCATTCGCTGAGATTTTACAAATATATTATTCCTATTTAATGTCTTACTTCAACTCGGCGCTCAAATACTGTGAAACTATTCGTTCTAATTTAGACGAGAGTTCTTATAAGCTACTATTAATGTTTTGAAATAAATTTGTTAACGATATTTATAGTTTCCTTGTTCATTTCACATGTGTGCTGTACATAAGGCCATAATTCTTACTGGGGATTTCATTTCAATCATCTGAATCTATCCCACTGTATCGTATCCCAAATTGCCGGATGAAAAAAGTAAGTAAAGTGAAAGTTGGAACTTGAAATTCTTAGTGAAAATTATGCTCCTGTATTCAATATTAACCCATTAAGTGAGAAGAAAATTGCCCGGTACTGCACACAAATAGGACAAAAAACGGGCGCTTTACAAATTGACGGACACGTATCTTATCCCCATATATAGTTGTTTTCATTTTTATTAGTATTTTTTTATACCGTCAGGCGATTTGTTAAATTTATGCCTAAGTTTACAACTAAAGGAATTTGCAAAATTTTACTATGATACTTCATTGTTTTTCGTCTCATTATTTCAACTACACAAAACATTTCATTAAACAATTGTATAAGAAACATAGACAATGTATGACCAATTTGTTTTTTAATTATAGAAATCGTACAAAAACCAAATAGTAATGTAAACCAGAAAATGCAGTTAAGTGATGTGTTACACATAGTTGAAACGGAGATATACAAATAATGCAAAAAACACAAAAATTTATTATTATTATTATTATAGTCAGTTATTATCAGAGCATAACCCCATCAAACTGAATTCTACACTTCCAGGTAAACAAGTGATGAACTTTTTGACTACATTGCATGCATCTCTCAGAAAACCAGCTGATGTTATCGATCCATGGAGAATGGGTGCATTTTTTCGACCATCTAGAATGAAACATTAAAATAACCTTTCCACTTTAATTCAATTCTGACAAGAAACACAAGAGTATACCACTGGAGTTTAAAAGTATGATAAATGACAAACAGTTATATTAAACATATACAGAGGAATTATTTGACGATTAAATTCGAACGTACGACAGCATTTTAATTGCCTTAAACTTCTATTTAATTATAATCACATAAATGAATGGACTTCATAAATGACGATTGCACAAGGGACAATATCTGCTTACAGACTTAATAGTTACTGGAGAAAGTATTTAGAAAAAATACTGATGAAAATTTGTTGAGACTGTTATTATAGACCTTAAGCATTCGATCAAAATCATCTGGGTTATGGAAGTAAAATAATTAGATCTGATCCTGACTAGCAAATCACACAGAAGTATTGCTTGTTTCACAGAATATGATTCACAGTCATAAAAAGTAAGTTTGTTTAATGTGTAGTGAGCTTTATTCAGGCCCAGTTCTTTTGCACACTTGATGACACGACAGCAGTATGGTCTATCTCAAGCCGTGAGAATATATTTTTGAATTCCAATGACGTTACATAACAATCTGAAAATCGCTTTATGTGAAAATAAAATCTGTACACATGTAATTGAAAATGTTTTTATTATCTATTGTACAATATATTAAACGTGATAATGAATTTTGAATAAATGTGACAAAAGATGAAAATCATAACCAGATAATCGTTGACAGAAACTTTTAATCGATCCTGATTAATGTAACTTAATGTAAACATATTGAATAGATTTGTGATATTAAACTACATTATTTTAATGGTGACTGTGATCGTAAAGAAAGTAACATCCTTAAAAACCGACAAACCAAAAGCATGATATCATAGTCTCATGTTACGGAAAAAAATCAACTGAGTTAATACTTACAGATAAACTAATAATTATTCAGTTAAAACTAATTATTCCTCATTTATACGGTCCAGCAGTCATGTAGATTTATTTGCTCGTTCGTGAGGGCCATAATAGTACGCGGCTAGTCAAAACTAAAAGTTCGAACGTTTAACTCAATGACTGAAAATTCAATGCTTTATACAGCAAACCATTATTCCACACTAATTGTCATGATTCAAAATGAGTACTCAGAAGTGAACATTGAGTGCAGTCAGTAATCAAATCTTTGCTACTGTCATACCTACATCTAACTGGATGAGTCAATTTTCAGTAAAGCTGAAGACTAACCCCTAGAGTACAATACTTATGACGGTCAGAAGTGATTTTAAATTTTGTGGAAACGAATAAGCTTCTTTGCTTCTAAGGAAGTTAAGGTGATAGTTATTTCAAAATAGTGAAATAGATTGATTTCTGTCAATACTTTGTTGTATGAATAACTACGTTGATGCTAAATTTTAATGTTATTTTTATGGATTAGGGTTCTATAGTTTGATGAACGAATTTTGCATTGTCAGAATCAATAATTCAAATACTGATCGATCAATAACATCCAATGATTCGATGCGGCTGAATGATGGTTTCTCAAGAGACCGAATTATTGGAGATCATAAACAAGACAACTGGCAAAAGGATAGATTTTTTATGTAACAAAGTGACTGGCTCATGTAAAAGTTATCAACAAAAAATATAGTATGATGAGTATTATAGTCAATTGGAGGAAATCAGTTTGTAGGTCACTAACTTTCCAATCCATCGTGGCCTACCTGTTGAAATCAATTTGTGAGGATCGTATCAGTTATCATGAACAAACATATAAAGAATGACTATTCAGAAAATTCCTGTAAGCGACTTAATAAGAAAAACTACAAATTTCTGTAATCGTAGAACCATATTTGTTGTATAAGAACACAAGATGTCACTCAGTAAAGTAAAAGGTGAGATAATATGTGAACGTGTGGCTCAACGATTAAAAATCAAATATACACATCACTGACCCATAGTTTTAGATTTATTACGATAGGCATAACTTACCGAGTTCATATAGAGATCCGTCATGTTCAACAAAACATACAAAATGCAAATTAGTTTTTGACTCAGCGTTTGGTGCCTAAATACAGATTGAAAAATATAAAACTAAAATAAATGAACAAACTTCTGTTTGACCTTCTAGCGCTGACTTTTCATGCAACGCGGAAATTTCTTTCTAGAATAGAAAATAAATCAGGATGAATCCAATTACTTTACTCTCCAAGATAAGTCCACGTTCAGCGGGTGTCTTATTTTCGAATTCCTCTAAAACGCTGCTCAAGAAGGAACCATCTGGAATATTACATTAGATAGCGTAGTTAAAATCTACTAAGATTGCTACGATTTATGAGAAATAAATAGCTTGTTATTAACTATCCAGCCAAAGCTTAATCCTAATTCCATTTCTTGATGGTATACAAAGAAAATATGAAGTGAAAAACGAGATAAGTAAAACAACATCGAAAACTGGAACTCAGGATAAAATGTTTAAAAGTAAAAGGCACAAAATATGAGTTTTACAAGAAGGACAGAGAAACCTATTGTATGTCACTTTGTTATATAACATTCTCCAAATTTCCCGTGCCAAAAACAGTTAAGTATTTAGTACCATCATTTGAAAGATCATTTGAAGACCTAATGTGCAGACAATGTAGTGGATATTAAACAATCTTAATTAAAAGTTGTATCAGAATATAGAATTGGTGGGTGAGTGGTGTAATCTACATTTTGGCTACTATATGCGAATTCAAACATTTAACTTTTACTTGAATTGTGTGCTGATGTTGTTCATAAGAGTGATGGAAGCTCCACGGCCATCGAGCTCAGAGAACAAAACTCTACCAAAATTTACTAAAGTATTTCACGGTGCTATGTATGTCTATTTTCAGAAATTAGTTCTGCCTACAGAGGTCTAGCATATTCATAGATGAGATTTCATTTTGAACAATAAGTTTGATTTTTTTACTGCCATTAACACTATTACTTCAACTTCTTTGGTCTTCTTTCGTCATTCTGTACAAAGTTAGATAAACTAAACGAGTCCCAAGTCCTGTGTTGTTTATAACTGATTGACATCTCCAGAATGTAAGATAAATCTCAAAATTTTCGAATGAAGAAAAAGGTCATGACTTACCTTTGATGCTTAGTTTTTGTTTATTATTTACTATAGCATGTAATAAAGCTATAGTTCCACAAGCATTACCAACCGTTTGTTTGATCAAAACAACTTTGGATGAGTTATCCTCGACACCCAATGAAGCATTTTCAATGGGAGTTTCAAGAGGATATAAAAATAATAGGCTTATCACGGGTTCTGGTACAAATGCAAGCATATCATCATCCAAACTAAAAATGTCTATAAATTTCCATGACTCTTCGACAACTCCAAGTTTATTCATATACTATAATGTTAGAAATTAATTGTATCTTTAAAGTAGTGTGTACTTCATTTAGCACCTAAACAATTATTAACTAATCGCAAAAATACCTGAGGATTAGCTTCTAAAGGGATCCACCTCATTATGATTGTTTCTTTATTTAAAACTGAAACAAATAAAAGACAGGCATTTGAAGATACATTTCGAAGCTACAGCAAGTGACATCTACAAGCATACGTTATAATATGGTTAGCAGAGATGGATAGTGGCTAGCAGTGGAATCCAGGACGCGCGTTTCGTCCTATTTGGGACTCGTCAGCTGGATGTACCTGCATCTCAGAGTTGATGTTCACTCTGGGATTCGAACCCAGTACCCTCGCTTCAAACGCCATTGCGTTATCCACTCGGCCACTGAGTCCTGATAGCCACTTGCTTGTGCGATGGGGTGAAGTTTAAATTCAACTTAGTATTGTTTGTTTGAATCTAAGTTGAATTTATACGTTATAATAGTTTACAGGAATTTAACCGAGTCTACAACTCATTCCTCAGTTCACCAGTCAATGCATTTTACGGACTGATACGTAGTATCAGTCTAGTAGCTCTTAGACTGAATTCCAATATTATAATGCAACTCGAGAATCAAGCGCAGATCTGTGGTCTGCTTGAAAATTATGTGGTGGGTAATAGTTCTGTTTGGCTAGCCAGGCTGAATAAGGCCAAGAGATAGTGTCACTTTTGTAATGAAGCTATTGCTCCATACATAGAGCTGAATCCAGGATAACGGACGACTCCTAGCATGTCTCAAATACTCATTTTATTCAGTACAGGACAACAGAGTAGGTACTAGTTAGGCACCGATAATACTCTCTTCAACTGGTATTCTATTGTCGGAATTTGAACCATGCACCAGACAGATTTACCATTGAAAGATGGACGGCAGGAGATACCAACCTCCTCAGTTCGACACTATAGGCGAGAAAGAATTTACTCCAACGTTTCTTTTGAATCGACTACTAAATTAAATCCTGACCAAACAGATGTAAAAACCTTGTAGTGGATAACTTTAATGCACCCTCTATAAATTTGGGAAACCTAAAAGTAGGGTCATTAAAAACATAGTTTGATTGCAAATTGTTAAGAACAGCAATCGCCCTAACTTTATTCTAACACATCAGAGATCCAACCACATATGACTTTAAAAAAACTCGTTTCTCTTGGACTGTTTTCTAACAAGGTGGTGACGCTAGTCAAATAATTTTCCTTCCACCTACAAGAAAGAGTGATCATGCAGTATTCGAAGTTCACTTAGACAAAAGAACGTTGGGACATCGCCATTAACCTTGATATAGAAAATGCAAAAGAACGCTACAGGGCGGTCCGAATTAAATGTTTAAGCACAGTCCAGACAGCTCACCGTTGCTGTTACATTGACGTGGTGGTCGGGCTTGCCTATCGTGATGAACCGATCGAGATATACTGGCTGGAACAATCGTTCCTCGAGGTCCTACCATGCCAGACAGGTCGGTTGAAGAGCGGTAAGACTAAAAGCAGCAATCCCAAGGTCCGAAGGCGAAGTTGTACTGCTGACTGTACAGAGGTGTGACGGCAGTAAGGTGTTTCCTTCAGACAACCAGCATAGCAGCGATGCTGCCTTCCCACAAGGAGGGGTGGGGTTAGAAAAGGTCGACCCTAAAAATGCACACCTCGCCTTATCCCATGGATTTCCGTCTCCGGCGGTAAGGTCTTTTGAAGAACGGAGCTAACACGTCAAAAATCCCACACAAAAAGGCCGTGCGTGACCGGCCCCAAGCAGTTGTCCCTTGGGCACTGCGGTCACGCTCCCAGGTCGTTAAGACCAACACTAATCCAACTTATTTTCAGGTCCCTCAAGAAATACCCTTCCACGGTGTGGGCAGCCGGGAAGTGATATTAGCCCTCATACCCATAACTGCACACGAGACCAAGTTGGTCACTTTCAAATCCCTCCTACACCTAATTACTCTCTTATCTCCACGACTTACCCTTCCCACGTCCTTTTATCACCTCGCACCGCTAGAGCAAACGATTCAAGTACACGGAACGTTATTACTGGTCTTCTGAAACCACGCTCTAAACTACATGTAGGAACTTTTAATGTCCGGACATTTTGCCGAATAGGACAACAGGCTTCCTTAGATAGGACTTTAGAATCTTACACCATCGATGTGTGCTGCGTCTCCGAAACACGCATACAAGATCCGAGTAGCGTCATTCATTTGACCTCACCTTATCAAAATAAAGAAACATCTCGATACACGCTTCGTGTATCTGGAAGCCCTGATGCTGCTTACCGTGGCCTCGCTGGAGTAGGTATAGCATTAAGTCCTAGGGAAGAACTAGCTCTCTTAGACTGGATCCCAGTAGACAGTCGTCTATGCGCTGTCCGACTAAACGGATCAGTAAGGACTCGGAAAGATAGGAGAACTCGTCGTTGCCTCTTCGTCGTCTCTGCCGACTCTCCCACTGACTGCAGCTTAGACGACATAAAAGATGAGTTCTACAGGAAACTTTCTGACCTCCGAAAAGCTAGGCGTTCTGATGTAGTAATAGTGACAGGTGACTTTCAATGCTCAAGTAGGTAAACTAAGTGAAGTGGAAAGACACCTGGGTGAATCTTATGGTGTCGTGACTAAAAGGACAGATAATGGCGACCGTCTGTTGCAGCTATGCTCAGATAACCGCCTATTTCTTGCAAATACTAACTTTAAGCATAAGGAAAAACATCTTTTGACATGGCGACCACGAATTCGTCACAACGTTGGACCCTATTAGATCACATCGCTATCAGCCACCGATGGAGGGGCTCGATAGAAGACTGTCGCTCATTCTGGGGCACATGTTTAGATTCAGATCATGCTCTAGTGCGAGCACGTATTTGTCTGCGTCTTACTGGTTGTAGGAAAGACACTGCAGGGAAGCCTCTAAGGGTTCTACTTAATGATAGGCAAGCTAAGAATATATTTCAGGAACAACTAGAAAAACAGTTAGGCAGCCATGTAAGTTGTGTCCACCCCGAGGCAGCGTGGAATGACATCCGAAAAGCTGTGATATCCGCTAGTAAGGTAAACCATAACGTTAGGGAGAAACAATGGATCTCGGCAGCATCTACCGCACTGATAGATGCTCGAAAACTCGTCCCACCTGGCTCTGAACATAACGAAAAGCGGAGTCAGCTTAAGCGCATGCTAATAAGAAGCCTAAGCAATGAACGTGAACAGTGGTGGGTAGCGAAAGCAAGAGAGATGGAAAAGGCAGCGGCAATAGGTAACAGTAGACAGCTATTCAGAATCGTTAAAGAAACCGGTGTTAGGAACCCAAGTATCAGTGAAACCATCTCAGATAAAGATGGGCATATCATTTATTCTCAATCCAGGAGATTGGATCGATGGGCAGAACATTTTAGGGATCAGTTCAACTGGCCTTCAGCCACACTTCAGTTACCCACGGTCCGCAGTCGTCCCGAATGGAAAATTGATGTAAGTCCTCCAACTCTCTACGAGGTTGAAAAAGCTATAGGAAATCTGAAGCGAGGGAGAGTGTTATATCCCCCGGTGAATTACGAATGGTAACTTTTAGGTCTATTTATGGATCAATGTAATACGCCTATTTCCTATTGTACAATTATTACGTAACTGAACTATTCATATTTCTCTTATCATTAGCTTTATTTTGACCTTTGACTTATTATCATACGATTCTTGAGTTATAATCAGTTTATTGATTACTTTGGTTTGTATAAAAACCCAGTGTGTTTGTAAATAATGATTCATATTGCCGAGGCTGTTATTTGTGTTCTGGACTCAACTGGCTGGGCTAGGCATATAGCAGGACCGAGTAGCAATCAAGACTGCTCGTACGATCTTATGTATCATTGGACGTTTATATATTAAGAGGGCACAGGCAAGTAATCGATATATCAAACAGACACCCATATGTTATAACAGAGGGCAGCAGGCCCTAACAGGTTTACTCCTGAGATTTTTAAGGATGGTGGTCCAGTACTAGCAGCGAAATTGACTGAGGTCTTAGGTAGAATCTGGGAACTGGACGTAATTCCATCTGACTGGACCCAATCACTGATTGTGCCAGTCTATAAGAAAGGACAAAAGTCTTCCTGTGACAATCACAGAGGGATCAGTTTGACTAATATTGTGTCTAAAATATTAGCTTCAATAATACTTGGACGCCTAACCAAAGCTCGTGAAGAGCAGACTAGAGAAAACCAGGCTGGTTTTCCACTTGGAAGTGGTTGTATAGACCAGATATTCACTCTACGTCAGGTCCTAGAACATAGACATACATTCAGACATCCCACAATCGTAGTATTTCTTGACCTTAAGGCGGCATTTGACTCCGTTGATCGTGAGGTTCTATGGCAGTGTTTGTCACTGAAAGGAGTACCAAAGTACATTAACTTCATAAAGGCTCTCTACTCGAACGCAACTGGTCGAGTTAGAGCTATGGCGAACTGTCATCAGAATTGATTACCTCAAGTGGTGTTAGTAATGACTGTCCATTCTCCCCATTCTTGTTTAACTTTGTCATTGACATGCTTTTGGAGATAACACTTTCATCACCTCAATCCCCAGGAGTTGAACTTCTACGGGGAGGCTCACTTGTTGACTTAGAATACGCCAACGACATAGTTTTATTTGGTGAAGACGCTGGCAACATGCAGAGTCTTCTGACCACTATAAGCAACTATGCAGGCATGTTCGGGATGCGATTCTCTCCTTCGAAGTGCAAAATGATACTTCAGGATTGGGTTGCATCGACACCTGAACTAATGATAGGAAGTGAAGTAGTTGAGCGTGTTGACAGCTTCACTTATCTTGGGAGTCTCATCAGCCCTTGTGGTCTGGAGTGTGACGAAATCTCAGCACGAATACAGAAGGCTCGTCTAGCTTTCGCCAACTTGCGTCATTTATGGCGTAGGCGAGATATCCGTCTAACAACCAAAGGACGGGTTTACTGTGCAGCAGTTCGTTCCATCCTGCTTTATGGCAGTGAAACATGGCCGATAAGAGTAGAGGATATTCGCGGGCTACTAGTGTTCAATCATAGGTGTCTTCGAAGCATTGCTCGTATATCCTGGGACCACCGGGTAAGTAATGCAGCTGTTAGGAAACGGGTACTAGATAAGGATGGCTAATTGATTGATGAAGTAATGAAACTACATCAGTTGAGATGGCTGGGATACGTGTTACGTATGCCCAACCACCGACTGCCCCGACGTGTAATGTTTCATGGTGTGGGAGTAGGTAGGAGGAAAGCTAGGGGCGGCCAGACCAAAATGTGGCACAAATCCATGAAGTCACTGACAAGTGGACTGAGCCATGTTGGTAGGTGCAGACTACCTGGTTGGGATTCGCGAGATGATAGCAAACGATGGTTAGAGACCTTGAATAACATGGCTCAAAATCGTTTGCAGTGACGAAGGTGCATCCACTCTTTGTGTTCTACCAACTTCTAATTTTCTGAATTCCTCATGTCTCTATCTTTTTCTCTTTCCAAATTTATTTCACTGTATTATACTCCTTCAATAACATCTTCAAACCCTAATTTTTCACATAGTGCTTATACTCTTACTACTTCTACCACTACGGGATTTGAATCAACAACTTCATCTCTGTGCTAATTTGGTATGGCAACTCGGACTGATGTACGTACGTACAAAGTTCTACGTTGTGACTGACTGAGACAGCTCAGCGAATATACGAAAAGCAGTTGGCCCAATCTGTAATTAATTAGTTGAAGAGACTGCTCTTGTGCATAAATTGTAGAACAAGAACGCATCATTTGATTCGTAACCTTATTACGGGAGTGCATCATAAATGACAAACGGAGATTAGGACAAAGCAGGGGCTACGGCGAACTATTCTGGGACAGTTTTCACTCAGGACCCTCTTCTAGACGAACGACTAGACCTAAATGCAAAGTCACAAAATCAGCTGCTCATTGTGCACTTCAACCATGACGACGTACCCCAAATGCCCTGGTATGGCCGAGAGTGGGGAGAGTCCGCTCTCCCTCTCCAAATACCCTCACATGGCCACGCTTATATAGCCTGTTAGGGAAATCTTACTGCCTTCTTGTGGCACGGCTGTTGCTCACAAAAATGAGAGGACGAAAAGCGAATGTCCGGCGCTTTAACCGAGTTGGTGGACACGGAAAGTCCACCTAGGGGAGTTGGAAAACCAATGGTGCACATGAGCTCCAGTATCCTGAAGGAACGAATGGCGTACGGACCACTTGTCGGTCGCCGGCTACCATGGGAATGCACTGCCTCACGATGCTCCAATGCCTTGTAGATCACACCTTTAGGTCGAA